ATGGCCCGGGACGACGGAACCATGGGATCTTGATCGGGCCCATCATTCATTTCCCCACCATCCGCTTTAAGTGAACGATGGTGAAATTTCTATTTTAAATATAAAATTTTCCCAAATCTTCCAAACCAAATTTTTTCAATTTCCAAATTCAGACCTATTGCTGCTACTATATGCCAGATAACACGTATATCCTACGTATCTGATTGACGACTAGCCTTAATCGAAAGTTCTCTCTCGCGATCGGGAGAGGTAATTAACTATAGGGGCTTGCGCCTATAGGAAACCAGAACTCAGATCATAAAGTCCTCACCAAATGAGGGCGAAATCTCTGGGTAGTGTCTTATCTACAAACCCATCTGCCCTTCCAAAATTTACCCCGGAACTTAGTTCGTTAAAACTCCCTCGCCGGATAAATCAAAGCGAGCGGAGGCCGGGGCCGAATTTTCGGAGCCCACACTTCCACTATATCTTAGCCATCTTTCAAGGCTAGCAACTCATAAATCAAGCCTTAAAATTTAACCCAAAATCCTATTGAAAGCCCTTGCTCTAGATTAGTCTCTCTTACACCTAGTGTTATTCATACCGTTATAAGACCTTCAATCTCATCAAACTCTATCATCTACTCATGATTATAATTTCACGTCCTAATTTAATCCTCCACTACCACTATCATTTCTAGCCATTTGCCCCATTCAAAACTCATTTTCAATAGTATTCTTGCAAATCAACCCAAGTTAGATTAAATAAGACTCGTCTTGGCATTACTTTCACCACACCCCTCCAAACCCTTCATCTTTCTAACAAAAAACTCTGTCACTTTTTTAAATAATAAACTAAACATTCATTTAAATAATAAACTAAAGGGCCTTCCATCACCATTTTTTTGGGTGTCAGAGCGAAATTTAGTAGGAGCAATTTTGGTTAGATTATTTGCCAATAAAATGAGCGTTTCTTGTAGCGGATTTGTCTTCAAGCTTGTGAGTTCTTCCAAATCCTTTGAGATGTATTAATTTTTTTATGATATTTTAAATTCATAGAATTAGTATGAAAATAATCTATATAGCTTGTAAGCATATGATGATAGCATAAAATTCTAATAAGTGAGTTCCATCATATACCTTAGCTTTTTCTGACTTTTGTGAACTTACCTTAAAAAAAAGGCTTAAGTGAACAATTTGGTCAGAATGTGCTCTTTTCCTTAAAATAACCCCACCCCTAATACAAAATCAAAATTTAATCACTTTCTTTACTTTCTTTATTAATATTTATGGTTAATTCTAAAATGTTTATTTGTGTTAACTTGTGATAACTTGCTTTCTTAAGAATTAGAGGCTGATAGTCTTTGGCATTCTTTTTTTGCATGTAAAATTGAATGCATAGGGATATAAGTGCTTTTTAGGCTAAATATAATTGCCTGCTCTAAAACAAATAATGCTTAAGGACATAATGTGACTCCATGGTCTCCCTTCAACAATTTTTTTTTTGATAGAGATATTAGATTTGTCTCATACTTCTTAAAAATATAGTGTTAGACAGCATATTAAAATTTTCTTCTATTTTTCACCCCCAATCTGACGACCAAACAGAAACAGTTGATTGCACTTTAGGAAACTTGCTTAGATTTTTAGTCAGCAAAAATTTAAGAAATTGAAATTTATGGTTACCTACAGCAAAATTTGTCGACAATAATATTTTCTCTAAAACTATAAATAAATCACCTTTTGAGTTAGTTTATGGCCAAAACTTTAGACGATAATTTGATGTAGCTAACCTACCATTGTATGCATTTTATGATGCAACATTCTCCTTATGCTAAGTATTATTGAAGTATTCATGAAGACATAAGAAAGCAAAATATTTAAGTAATGAAAAATGTGCTTATAAGATAAATCATTAAACACAAGAATATAAAGAATGTGTTTATATTCTGGTTTGCATTCGCCCTGAGCATTATCAAACTATTAAATATAAAAAAATAAATACAAGGGTAACCATAAATTTCATCCTGATTTGCTTGACGATATGCTCATTCATTTAGTTATTGACATTGAAGATATTTTATCATATGAAGGGGTCATCAAATCTCCACTTATTTAGTCTAATTCTTTGCCAGAAGATATTATTTCTCACTTGCAAAATCTCTCACAACTTATCTTCTTTGAAGTTTAAGTCCATTATAAATAAACTAGTGCCCATAGATCAAGTTAACATTCACAGATTTCTGATTTGATGGAAGGATAAACCCTATACATAAGATATTTAGATGTCCTGAGCAGATTTGGAAATGCTTTCCCTCTAGCTAATCGAAGAGTATTTGGATTTCAACTCTCCGGTGTACAATTCAAATGAACTCATGGAAGTTGTTGTACCACATCAATTAGATTAAAAAAGTGAAGTCAAAGGTCCAATTACAATAGCATAATTAAGAGCCCAAGGAAGTGCTAAAATAATAATCCAACCCATACCCATCACAAGAGCCCAATCAAGGATAAATAATTAAAATTTGAATTTTAATATTAATTTTCACATATAACTTTTAGATAGTTGACTTCTCATTTTTAGGGAATATCCATGGATTGACGACTTGATGAATATTGGAAGATAAAATGAATTAATGATGTTGGTTGGTACATTTCTTCATAACGAACACCCACCTCTTTTCTTTCCGACAATATTATCTTCTTTTTGAATGATGTTAGTTATTCTAACTCTATGAATAGTGCTGATATGCAATGAAAATTTTCAGCTTTGGAATGATAAAGACATTTTAGAGAAGTTTGTTTTATTTTGATTAGTGTTAGATGGCCTATCTCGTCCAACGTTGGTGGGATTAATTAGTTATCTTTTATGTTTATTTTTACTCTTCTTGAATCTGCTTCTAAACCTCTTTATCATTTTCTCATACTCCTTAGTCATCATTTAAAACCAGTCATCCATATCTCAAGCCTTAAAAATTAACTCAAAACTCTCTTGGAAGCCCTCAACCTAGATTAAACTCTTTTGCACCTAGTCTTATTCTCCATACCACTATAAGACTTTCAACCTCACCAAACCCTATCATTTACTTTTGATCATAAGTTCATATTTTAAGTTACCTCCATCATCATTTTTAACAATTTACCTAACTCAAAGCCTATTATCTAAAGCGGTCTTGCAAATTAGCTTAAAGTAGCCCAAACATGACTAACCCTAAACCCTCATCTTTCTAACTCAAAACTTCATATCACTTCTTTAAATAATAAACTAAATATTCATAAGCATTTTTATTCACTAATGCCACTAAAAGGGCCTCCTCCCATTATTATCACCTTTGCCAACTGAAGTCCTGAAAGAAATGTTAGTTTGACTGCGAAATCATTTAAGGAAAAGTTTGAAGAATCAACTATAGAAAATGCACGGTATACAATATTTATGTGACATTGATGCAACAGGATTGAAGATGTGCTGTTATTCATTCACATTAGCCTTGGCACTTGGAAAGCATGCAATTATCCAAATGTAAACATTCTACATGACAGTTAGATAGATTCCAAGATTTCAATGAATGACCAAGTCGCTGTGATTTCATTCGATGGGGTACTAACCAATCAAGGAAGTTACTAATGTTTAATCATGGTATAACATTGTTATAGAAACACATGGTTAGATTGATTTCATTATGATTTAGTGGTTGCGGGTTTGAATTATGTAAATATCTTTTGCTGTAATATTGTAGAAACCTAAACTTCTAGGGTGGGCAAATTCAATTAACACCAGTCTTTTCTTTTATTTAGATTACTTCGTAGTGTTGTTTTTTGCTTATCTTTGTTTTCATGCTTCATGTGTAGACAAGGGATAGAACTCATCACTGTTGTGTATTAGAAATTTATTTAGAAGTAAAATTTTCTCCTTTGCTTTTCTCTTATATGTGCTGTCTTGTGAAGTTGCACATTTCCAAATATAGTTTTTGTTCCTTGAAAGTCTGCAATAATCTCATATTTAGAAAATTTATACTGTTAGGCCGATAATTTTAACGGGTTTTTTAGTTTTTACCACAAATCATCTCTTACACTTAAGAAATTTGTTTGATTCTAACAACAACAACATCAAGCCTTTATGCCACTACGGGGGAAAATTGTTTGATTCGAAACATGAATAAAAATCAGCTGGTAGTTTATTTGATTCACTTGTGATTTTGAATGGTGGATATATAATCTTCTCTGTGTTTCCTTTTTCAGGTTTAGCTTTTCAACTCTTTTTCACTCCGAGCGTAAGTAAAACTTCTCATATGCATTCAGTATTATGCTTGATATTCATACTGACACTAAAGAACGCTCCTTCAAAATTAGCCAGCACATTCTTACATGCATTTTTATTTTCTTGTTCTTTAGAAGAAGAAACTTTGAGCACGCTGGGGCGATTTGTTATGATGGTTTGGTTTTTTCTGCTAATGGTTGTGACATCAAGCTACACTGCGAGCTTGACATCTTTTCTTACAGTCCAACAGCTGCAATCTCCAATAAATGGAATTGATAGTTTGATAGCAACCAATGACCCTATTGGTTATCAGGAAGGGTCATTTTCTTGGAGCTATATGGTTAATAGTCTTAATATACCACGATCGAGGCTTATCTCACTCCGGACACCGGATGATTATGAAGAAGCTCTCTTGCGTGGCCCGAAAAATGGAGGTGTGGTAGCAATTGTTGATGAGCTTCCATATATTGAAATATTCTTGGCAACTAAAAATGGATTTGGCATTGTTGGGCAGCCCTTTACACGCAGTGGGTGGGGATTTGTGAGTATATTTCTCAAAGTCATGCTTTTTCTTACACCCGTTAGTTGATGTGCTTTGAATTAGCTAACTATGAAAGTAGAGGTGCTCGCTGATATTATATGTAGAAATCAAGTTATTTCATTTGACATTTTCTTTCATGCTTGCTTACCAACTTATTAGTCATTCAGTTTAACTTATCTGTGCATTGACCTCAATGGGAATAAGGATGAAACTATAATACCTTATCAATCCTTCAACGATGAATTCTAAAAAACTAAAGGGTAGTTTGGTTTGCGAATGTTTGCCATGTAAAATTATATTATTACTAAATTCAGGTTTTTTGGGTTCTGCGACATCTTTAAAAGATACAATTCTTAAATACTTTGAAATCTTATTTTGAATTTGAGATTTCAATAAAATTTGTCAACATTTAGATGTCAGGTTATATGATAATTGGCAATAATAAGATATATGATAAACACTCATTGATCATTCTAATGCAATGTATTTTATTCCAGAGTGGAAGGCAATGTTTTTTCCCAAGTGAGTTGCACTTGATTGTCATTAAAGTGTATGGCTTTGTCTTTGCATAATTTCTCTAGAAGATTTTAAGAAATACCATATCCTTGCTAGTTTCAGTGGCTGCTACATACTATGATTTGGCCTTTTAATAATGCAACTTTTTTCTTAAGTTGACATGTAGCTTGATGCTAGTGTCACCCAAAGTGTAGATGTATCTAATACTATTTATTCAAGTATATAGGCCTCCTAAATCACCGGCAACATATCCCTGTAGTTTTAAGGCTGTTCTTCCAAACCTTCATGAATTGTTGATCGTATCTTTTAGGTATTGTAGAATCTAGTTTATAGCTTTTCAATATCTCACTCTTAGTTTTGAAATGTACTGTTGACATCTCGCACTTCATTGGAAATGACTGATATTGTACATACCATTCATTGTGTATATCATAGAGCTATCTGCAAAGGTGTAAGGGTATGTTGACTGTTGATTAGCCGACCAGCCCCCACACATGATCCATGATACTCACGCATGATCCCACGATCTCACAACCATCCCTCACACGACAATGAACAAAACACAGGCATTCGAATTTTGGCGCACACACAAACAGGGGATATCGAGCTTCCTCTTTGTCATACACAGAGACCGCATGCAAAAGCATCATTTTGATCCCCCTCTTTCGATCCCAGTCGCACGAACCCCAACCGCTTCCGCTCGTGACCTCCGATCCATCCTGTCACCCGCAACTCTCCAGCCCGACTACATTCTCCAATTCGCACGAGAAGCTCGCTTTCCTAGCGCCTGGCCTGCATATGCATGGCTCGATTCCATGTGAGACCCCAACGCTTGATCCTTAAGCAAATGAAGCCAACCAACCCTACCTCAGGCCGACTTCTTCGTGTACCTGATCCGGATCTCATAGGCATGTTCGAACGACCTCCTCCTTGCTTCCGTCTGGCCTGCTTCTGCACACCCTAGCGATCAAATAGCCTCCATTTGGCCCGTTCCACACACGAACTTGAGCCCAACAATCTGATCCACCTGGGTGTGGTCTCTGATCCGCTTGAAATAATGAGTGGGGAGGGATTATCTCTATGTAATAATAATAACACTAATAGTAGTAGTAATAATAATAATAGTAATAGCCAAGAGTAAGCAGGTGTTGCGATAGTCAAATTGGAGGATCCGAAAACGCATTCTAGGATTGATATGCCCACCGAAATCCTTGACCGTTGATTATTAACCTGGTCGAGCGAATCAAAAGGGCTAGTGCCATCCCCAGCCTCCACTCACGAGGAGGGGGCGCCGAAATGCCGAAAAAACGTTGAAATACCACAAACACCGATTTAGAAGACTCGAAGATTGATAATGGGGTCTATATGTCCCTCGAAGCCCTCGGCTGTTGATTATTAATTCGATTGAGCGGATTAAAAGGGAAAGTGCCCTCCCCAACCTTCCCTCGTGTGGAGGGGGCGTCGAAAGTCTGCCAAAAATTCAGGGAAACACCAAATTACAAACGGGTGCTCGAAGACCGATTCCGGGGTCAATTTTAATTCCCTGAAGCTCTTGGTCGTTGATTCGATTCGGTTGAGCGGACCCAAAAAGGCAAGTGAAAGCTGCAATCTCTTCCTTGCTCTCAAAATCCTTGAAGCTGAAAAGAGCCCAACCCTTCCTCTCTATTTATGTTGATGGGCTACTATACACAAACTTTGCTACAACACCCAATCTCATTGCTATTGTAGCCGAATACCTCTCTTTTCCATTGATAGTTGCTTTGGTGTGGGATGATTCAAGGGGGGTTCTAGAGTAGCTTATTTATGGCTGTGATGTTAAATTAGGAAATAAAATAAGAGCCCTTGCAAATCATGTAGAATATTTCAAATCTCTCATATCGATACATGGTTCTCCCATATTGTTTTCATACCCCTTAAATAACTAACATACCTCAATCTAGATAAACAATAATTAGAGGATCACATGACAAATCAGGAAGACATTATCCCTCCATAAAATTAACATGATACACCACTAAATATCAGCATATTTAACTTTAAAACTCAAGTCCTATAAGTAAGGGTGAACCACTAAATATTTTTGCATAATTTTCAATTATCATGTGACATTTTGCAGTGCATGGTCAACTGTTTCTTGTGTTAACACACTGCAGGCATTTCGTCGCAATTCGCCGCTTGCAATAGACATATCTAGAGCTATCTTAAAGCTTGCAGAGAATGGTGATCTCCAGCAAATTCATAAGAAATGGTTCTGCCTGCACAATTGTAACATTCATAGAGCAGACAATTCCAAGCCAAATCAGCTGCATTTGAACAGCTTCTGGGGACTTTTTATGCTATGTGGGATTGTAACCATTGCTGCTCTCCTGATATTCCTTCTTAAGGCGATCCGCCAATTTATTCGCTACAAAAAGGCGAAAAGCGATGCTTCCTCAATCACAAGCTGCACGAAAACTATCTACTGCTTCTTCGACTTCATCGACGAGAAAGAGGAAGCAGTGAAGAAAATATTCAAACAGCAGCAATGCTCCTCACAGCCTGAGGCTTCTTGATCAGTAGTTATGGTAGATGTTCATACTTTTCTACCATTTAATGAACTAAATTTGGGACAATCACTTTTCACATTTAGTAGTAATTAAAACGAATGTAATATCCATAAAATGTTTGTTCATCTGATATCTTCTTCTGAGTTTAATGATAAGCAGGAAAATTGATATGTGAAGAAGTTCTTCATTTATTTATTTTGTTTAAAGGATTTCCTTAGCTGCACTGCAATTGTCTGTTCACCAATTCTATCCTTGTAATTTTGCTGAATTTTTTTAAAAAAAATTTCTTTGCTTCTACTAATGTGTTGTAAGGGGTGGAGCCAAAAAAATTTATTAGTGGGAGTACAAATTAATGATTTTAAAATTACTCTCAAACTTCTTTAGTTGATTTTTTTTTTTTTTTTGCTTTTCTATTTAATACTTTAATAGTTTATAGTGATGTAATATTTTGTTCTTTAAAAAATATTTATATTTATTTTTAATAATTTTTTAAAACTTATATTCTATTGGTTGTATTGGACATAAATCTATAACTATTTCATTTTAAATTTAATATTTAAGCATTAGTTGTATAAAAAAAACTATATATATATTTATAATTCATCTAAAGTCAGAGAACAAAATCGAATTCCAACCTCTATTTTTCTGCTGGTTACATATGGGCCATATTGCGGACTTTCTGCTGTATAAATGGGCCTTTTTTGTTGTTGGCTTTTCTATATGCTAAAGGGCCAGTGATTATATAGGCTAGACTGTGGGTTTTCACCTATTTATACTATGGGCCATTTTTGTTGTGGGCTCGGCTACATGTTAAAGGGCAAGTGAGTGCCCATGCTCCCAGGGCCTCCGCTGAAATTTTATTTATTTTATGTTATTTAGGTAATATTGAAAAAAAAAATTGATGTGATGTTATTTTTAAAATTTAAGCTAATTTAAATAAAATTAGCAAATCTTGATAGCTAAATTATCCAAGGTAATATATTTGAATCAAATACTGTAATAATTGATAGATTTATTATAACTTAAATAGTTTTGTCATCTTCATAGTATAAATTGGTTGCTATAGGCTTAGCTAACTTTCTAGGTTGGCCTTAATTGATTGATTGGATTTGTTAATGGGCTTTGCAAAGTTAGTCCATGGGTTGAAAACCAAATTAAAATTTCCATTTAAAACGCTAATGATTTGAAAATCAACTTTAGTAGTCCATTTACAATGTGTAGCTGGCTGTGAGGAACCTCATGTGCCCCATTTTCAAATTAAAATATAAAAATAGATATAATTGTTTATGAACATAGAATATCCTTTATATTGATGATTAAAATGATTAATAATATTAATATTTTTAAAGAATAATTATTAAAATCCCTAATGAGCATTTATTAAGTGTGACTTGTATTAAAATATGTATTCATGAGTCTATTAAATACAAAAAAAAATATTTTTTAAAATGAATTTTTGATAGAATCACAAGTTTTCTTAGAAAATATATAAAAACATTAAATTTTTCTTACATCATTTTTAAATTTGCAATTTTTAAGCAAAAAATAATTTTATGATTACATTTTTTTTTTTAAAGTGTTTTAATTGTGATTAAAAATTTGAATCATAATTTTATAAAATTTTGATTATAATCATCTTTAATCATAATTTTAAACCAAATAATTACTAATCATACTTTTAAACGTGATTAAACATTTAAAAATGTGATTAAATGATCGTCCCACACATATTTTTTTAAATACAATTAATAACATTATTTCAAATGGCATTGTTAAAAAATATAAGAATAGCTCAAAATTATTGTAGCTAAAAGTATTTATTTTTTCATAATATTTTCTTAAATAATACTATTTTAATCACACTTTTCTTCATCATATTTCTTATTAATGTAGCTACAACCATTTATTATTACAAATAAATAAAATAATAACTAAAAATTTTAATAATTTCATTAATAAACTTATTTCCTTAAATAATATGATTATAATACACGAAAATGCTATTAAAATGTCATAATAAAAAATTAATTATTATATAATATTTATCCATATTTAAAAAACAGTTCCAATCTAAATTTATTGCAATGAAATCTATAAACCGCTATTTATCTTTACTAATTACAAAAATATTACAAATCATAAATTTCAATTACAAAAATATTACAAATCATAAATTTCAATTACAAAAATAGTATTTTATATTTTAATTTTCCGTTGTCCGGTACCCGCTGCCGCTGCCCGCTGCCCGCTATGATTTCCCCGCGATAAATTCGGTCCGGATCACGTGGTAGAATAAATGTTATCGGCGTGTAAGGATAATATTTTGGAGTTCTCTTAGTAATTGGCCAATAGAAAGCTACAGTAATTAATAAAGGGCACATGACTCTTATGGGACGATAATATTTAGAGATTCAATATTATTTAAAATAAAAATAAAAATTATAATGATCTCATTTGTTAAATAAATGGTTAGAATTTAAGTTAAAATATTTAATATTTTCAATAAAACATTTGTCTACTTAATTTTAAGAATTTAAAATGTATTTTGAGATGAATTAAATGTGTTAATTATTAACATTCTTTTAAATTACACAACAACGTACAACAACAACAACATCAAGAGTTTATCCCACTATGTGGGGCCGGCTATATGAATCATTTTTTCTCCATTGTGTTCTATTAAAAGTCAAATTCTCGTTTAAATCTAATAAATAAATGTCATTTCTAATATTCTCTAACCAAGTCTTTTTAGGTCTACCCCTACATTTCTTAACACAAGTCAAATCTAATACCTCTACTCTCCTAACAGGGTAATCGATCGGAAGGCCGCCTTTTTATGTGACCAAACCATCTAAGGCGACTCTCTCTAATCTTATCTTCTACTGGAGCTACTCCAACCTTTTAATGGCCAACATTCGGCATCATAAAGCATTGCAGGCCTCACTACAATCTTATAGAATTTTTCCTTAAGTTTGAGGGGTACATTTCTATCACATAACAAGCTCGATGCATTCCTCCACTTCAATCATCCAACTTAAATTCTGCTGATAATATCCCCATCTATTTCACCATCACTCTGAACAATAGATCCAAGATATCTAAAAAATGTACTCTTATTAATGACTTGATGACCCAAAGTCACAATTCCCTCACTAGGTTTATTACTACTAAAATTACACTTCATATATTCCGTTTTAGATAGACTCAAGCGAAAACCTTTAAATATAAGAATTTGGTGTCACGAGATTTTCACAATTAAAATTTCTTTCAATTTTTAATTAGTTTTTAAACGGGGAAATACAACATTTAATTAATTAGGTTTATAATCTAATTATTACAAAAGAAATAAAAATGTTATGAAATTTCCAAATTATTTCCTTCTCAAAAATGTATTCAAAGGGCAAGTGATTACAAATTATTTTAATTCAATTGTTTATATTTATTATATTTGACTAGAAATATTCATTTATAATTTATTTTTAAAGTGATTTAACTCATTCTATTTATTTTCGAATTACTTATTTATTTTTAGGTACTCCAACAAATAATAGGTATGTAAAGTTATAGGGAAAATAATTTTTTTGAAAGATGCTACAAAAATAGCTTTCAAAATAGTAGCTCAACAGAAATTATGGTTACTATCTAAAAAATAAAATAGTAAGAAAATTGTTTCAAGCCGATCTTAGAGCTTGTACTGGATAGCTTTTTCAATGCTTTCTAAAGCAATTTTTTAGTACAAAATTTCTTAAACTGCAAATTTTTATATTAAAAAATTATTTTAAATAAGCATTAAAAATATATCTCAAACGAAGCCTTAGTTTTTTATAAATATTTTGAAAATTATCATAGTTTTTTGTAAAATAAATAAATAAATTTTGAGATATTATCAATATTTTTTTTTAGGAATGGCCGACAGCTACTTTTTAATAATTATTGCACTTTAAAAAAAAATTATAGTAAAAGAATGAAAACAATCTGACCAAACTGTAAATTTCTAAAAATAAGAAAAGAAAATTCAGGCAAGTAAAAATGTGATAAAGATATCTAAATTAAACTTCTAAGCAAAATTGTCTGAAAATAATTTTTATAATTTTTTTGAGAAAATCTATGGTCAGATTTTATACCAAATTTTTAAAAGTTTAAAATTATTTTATTAATTTTAAAATTAATATAATATCTATAGAATTAATTGAATTATTTAAAAATAAATTCATATTTAATTTATAAAATTTTGACCAGAAAATCTGGGCGAATTATTTTTCTTATCACGTGTCGGCATTTCGGGTGTTAGACACGTGTCACGCGCTTTGCCGTCGGAGGAAGCAATCAGAGCCAGCTTTACTATTGTCAGCCGATGCTGGACTGCGCCCGGTTATATCTTCGTAAAAGAGACCGAAAACTTGACT